GCGTCCATGTTTAACGCTTCTCATAGCTATAGTATGTGAAAATAAGTATTCACTGAGCTGATGAGCTGAATGAGAGAGAGAGAGAGAGAGAGAGAGAGATGCAGAGCGTGTGCAGAGCAGGCGACGCGAGGAACAGTATTAAGAACCGCTGCTTTAGAACACTGATTTTGAAACTTGTGAATCCATTAGAATCGTTAGAAGACAGAATCGTGATTCATATACGAATAGATTTTTACGCGCACCGCTAGTTTTCTCTTCCTCTTCTCTAAAGCAGCACAGCATGGCCCCGCCCCCTTTGCTGCCTTTTCCCGAGGGCGGGGTTTATCTGGGTTTGTGATGTCACGAACCCAGGAAGTAACTCGTTGTAGTTCCTACCAGCCGTTTTTGTAGGCTTTAAACTGCCAGGATTTTAAAAGACGATATCTCCGTTTGCATTGAACTTTCAGCTTCGTAACTTTTCAGATATTGTTTATGCTCAAACAGCAACATTACACACTAACTAACGTTAAAAAAGTGAAATCATAATCAACCACCCCTTTATTCTATAGCTAATTCGTGTTTTTCTGGACTTTCATATTTTAAGATTGATAGTTAAACAGTAAAATAACTGTACATAAATCTGTACATAAATCTGGAGATCTGAAAAAGTAAATGCAATTATAAAAAACATGGTAAATGATGAATTGTCTTCATAATTGAATTCTGTGGGTTTACATGTGTTTTTCCAGGCAGCATGATGCTTGAACTGGAGCAGCGGGTGCGTGAGCTGGAGACCTGGACAGAAGGGAAAGCTGTGATTGTGCAGGGAGCTGCTGGAACCTTCTGCTCTGGATCCGATCTCAATGCAGTCAGAGCCATAGCAAACCCACACGTGAGAATCCCTGTTAGACCCTTTATCAGATAAAGGTCGGATTGTCGTTACATTTTCATTACACTATCGGTTAAGATAAAAAAAAAAAAAAAGTGAACGGTACTCAGAGAACATATTGTAATTTTCAGAACTAAAAACTCAGGCAAATTAAATTATGTCTGCATTTGCACAAAAATACAACCTTGTCTAACTTTACTATCATTATAAAGTGGACCTCAGTGAGACTTACAAGAACTCCTGTAGCTTCCAAGAACATCACACTGAACAACGATACATGCACTGTTTCCAGCTGATATAACGATTGTTGTGTTTTTCAGGATGGCATGAAGATGTGCGAGTTCATGCAGAACACTCTCACAAGACTCCTCAGGTTAGTCTTTCTGAAGAAAAGCAGATCAGAGCAATCGAGACACCAGGGGTCAATATCATAAAATATTTTTGAGCAAAATTTGAAGTAAAGAATCTTTAAACACACCATGAACTTCAGCTCCTGTCCCTCTTTTTTGAAAGATGCATGTTTCAAAAGGTAGTATGCTACATTGTTAGAATGTGACCATGTGAGTAGTGTGCAGTGCAATTATCATTCTGAAAATAAATGTGTAATTTTTGGTTTTATTTCAGTTTTGTGTAAAGATGTCGTAACTTTTGGCAGTCTGATCAAATTATGAGTCAAAATAGACACATTCCAATCTGTGGCTGTAATTACTTCCATTACTTTATTCATTACACAAGTGAAGCTTACCTTTCATATGTAACATTTTACTATTCTACTATTATTATTTATTATTTTACTATATATATATATATACAGTGGGTACGGAAAGTATTCAGACCCCCTTAAATTTTTCACTCTAAAAATATAGAATCCAAAAGGCAGGTGTTTGCAGTGATGCCGTAGAAAAACCATTTTTGGTTTCCCAAAGAACCTTTCAGGGAATAGGTCTCTAAAGAACTTTTTTTTTGTTTGAGCATTTCAATTTTTTCCCCCACTGTAATGAACCAGTATGCAATGGAAAGGTTCCATTGATGTTAAAGGTTCTTCGTAGAACCATAGATGCCAATAAATACCTTTAATTTTAAAAGTGCATTACAAATTGATGCACTCTAATGTAAAGTACATAAGGGTGATTTTGGACACAGTTACAGTCTGTAGTGTGTAGAATATGATGATGCACAAAGAAAACATGATAAGCTAATTTCACACCTGTGCAGATCCGTTTGATTTCTCCAGTGTCCTGTGGGGATGAGTCCGAGCTAAACTCCTGTTCTTTCCGGCAGGCTGCCGCTCATCTCAGTGGCGCTGGTGGAGGGAAGAGCGCTGGGTGGAGGAGCAGAACTCACCACTGCCTGCGACTTCAGGTACAAAGACACACCAGTTTTGACATGCAGAATTGTTTAAATGAGTCATATTATTATAATAATTAAAAAAAATATAGAATCCAAAAGGCAGGTGTTTGCAGTGATGACGTAGAAGAACCATTTTTGGTTTCCCAAAGAACCTTTCACGGAATAGGTCTCTAAAGAACGTTCTTTTTTTTTTTTGAGCATTTCAATTTTTTCCCCCACTGTAATGAACCAGTATGCAATGGAAAGGTTCCATTGATGTTAAAGGTTCTTCGTAGAACCATAGATGCCAATAAATACCTTTAATTTTAAAAGTGCATTACAAATTGATGCACTCTAATGTAATGTACATAAGGGTGATTTTGGACACAGTTACAGTCTGTAGTGTGTAGAATATGATGATGCACAAAGAAAACATGATAACCTAATTTCACACCTGTACAGATCCGTTTGATTTCTCCAGTGTCCTGTGGGGATGAGTCCGAGCTAAACTCCTGTTCTTTCCGGCAGGCTGCCGCTCATCTCAGTGGCGCTGGTGGAGGGAAGAGCGCTGGGTGGAGGAGCAGAACTCACCACTGCCTGCGACTTCAGGTACAAAGACACACCAGTTTTGACATGCAGAATTGTTTAAATGAGTCATATTATTATAATAATTTTTTTTATTCCGTGCAGTCCACATATAATGTTACAAAAGATACAAAAAAAGAGTTTTGAAAAGTTTGGAGTTTTTTGGAGCGAGGAGGGAGATTTGTATACTTAAAGTTACAGTACGTTTCAACAAGCCAGTTTATCTCAAAAGATGAAGGGAAAATTGAATTCCTCCTGATATGACCCCTTTGAGTTGCACTTTAATATCCTGTTGGAACAGAACGTTATTTCCATTTCCAGGTTGATGACGTCTGATGGTGTTATCCAGTTTGTCCATAAGCACATGGGTTTGGTACCCGGATGGGGAGGAGCTGCAAGACTAGTTCGTATTGTTGGCAGCCAGAATGCCCTGAAACTGTTGAGCGGCGCTAAAAAAGTTGATCCAGACTTTGGAAAACAGATGGGACTGGTTGATGAGGTGCTCCATTGCTCTTCTGGCGAGGGAAATGCACTGGCTCACGCCGAGCAGTGGCTGAGTCCGTTCATTAAGGGCCCGGCCCCAGTGATCCAGGCGGTGAAGAGGGTTGTTGTCTCGGGAAGAGAGCTTCCTCTGGACGAAGCCCTTCAAACGGAGAGAAGTGTGTTTGGGACAGTATGGGGCGGCCCGGCCAATCTCGAGGCTCTGGCTTTAAAACCTAAACATAAGTGACTGCAATCATCATCGCTGCACAACATTAAAACTGTTTCAAATATGCTTGAAGAACTTTATGTTTTCAGATCAGTAGAAGTAACCGAAAACTTCCTGGATTGCTTTTGCGGAGTTCATGTCAACTTGCGCATGCACACATTAGTATATTAATATCTGAGTGCTGTATCTTTCAAAGCTTTGTGATTGCAAGAATCTATGCACATTAATGCAGTCCTTTATTGTAGTGTACACTTTTGTCTTTTTCTGCATAAAGGATAAACCTGAGGGGAAAATAAAGCAGTATCGGCTAATTAAAATCCATGAATCCAGGGTGAATCAAACGCAATGTTCACATTTTGAATTGTCCTGCATCGCCATGTCTCATTGTGGACATATAAAAAAATAACTTGCATTGATACTTTTTTTTTCTCCTTTCCAGCAGTCCTATCAAGCTTGTGTGGCTGTGTTATTTCTTTTAAATTCTTAATATTTTTCATAATGATCTTCAGTGAAGAACCATGCTTCAAGTGATTGACCTCATCCTATTGGGTGATCAAAAACTTGGCCCAGTCACTGTGGTAACGAGGTAATTTGCCTACATATCTAGTCACTGTACTCGAGTATCTTTGGCTACTTTGTAGTTTTACTGAGTATCAAATATATTAGCAACTTTTTCTCTCTACTTGACAACATTTTTGAATGGGCATATGTACACTTTACTCCACTACATTTGTGAGCAATGCAATTAATCATTAGGTTTTGCATTGTACCTAACTTTTCTGCAGCGGTTTATTTCTGCTACAAAAGAAGTGATATCGCCATCTACAGGGCATTGAAGATGTTTACTCGGCCGAACTTGTCAACAATCATCTTCTATTGGAAAATGAAACGACATTTGATCAAACTTTGATAATTGCTTTAATTTGCAGATTTTGACTCGTATGGGATGAGGACATGGTCGAGACCTTCTTGAAGGAGATTGGTTTACTTGTACTTTTTCAGTACTTGTGCTTAACTGAGATGTCAGTGTTTGTAGACATTTAAGAGGCTGTTTTGTCGACCTTCATTTATTGCAGTGTTGAGTTTTATTTTGATTTTAGAAAATAGAATTGTTCTCCTCACAAATCAACTGTTTCTTGTTTTTCACTGGCATTTCTTTTGGGTGTTGAGGACTTGTGTATCTTTAAGCCTACATTCAGTATGAGTAAAATACTTAAGTACTGTTAAAATCAGATACTCTTAAGACTTTTACTCAAGTCGTTTTGGAATGGGTGATTTTAATGGAGTCATTTTCGCTGTGAGGTATCTCTCCTCAAGAAGGGCTTTCAGGTACTCTTTACACCTCTGCAGCATTGTGTGATTTTCTGTCATGAATTATTATTTCTTCTATATTAACAGCAACAATGTCTTGAAACCTGGGGGCCAGTTGCATAAACATACCTACTATGTTAAGACGTCTTAAGAACTAGTTTGACCAACTAGCAATTAGCCAAGAGATAATTAGTCTAACTTTTCTGACTCAAATTGGGCCAATCTACCTTTTTGTAACCGAGTTTAAACAGTTATGACCAGTCTTTAAGAAAACAAATTAGATGACTAACTTTTTATTAGGCTATTGCTGAGCTGGTGGACATCTATCTGTCTGTCTATCTATCTATCTGTCTATCTGTCTGTCTGTCTGTCCTTCTATCCATCTATCTGTCTGTCTGTCTGTCCTTCTATCCATCTATCTATCTGTCCGTCCGTCCTTCTATCCATCTATCTGTCTGTCTGTCTGTCTGTCTGTCCTTCTATCCGTCTGTCTGTCTGTCTGTCTGTCTGTCTGTCTGTCCGTCATTCTATCTATCTGTCTGTCTGTCTCTGTCTGTCTGTCTGTCCGTCCTTCTATCCATCTGTCCGTCATTCTATCTATCTGTCCATCTGTCTGTGTGTCTGTCTGTCCGTCCTTCTATCTGTCCGTCTGTCTGTCTGTCTGTCCGTCCTTCTATCCATCTGTCCGTCATTCTATCTATCTGTCCATCTGTCTGTGTGTCTGTCTGTCCGTCCTTCTATCTGTCCGTCTGTCTGTCTGTCTGTCCGTCCTTCTATCCATCTGTCCGTCATTCTATCTATCTGTCCGTCTGTCTCTGTCTGTCTGTCTGTCCGTCTGTCTGTCTGTCTGTGTCTGTCTGTCTGTCCGTCCTTCTATCTATCTATCTATCTGTCTATCTGTCTGTCTGTCTGTCCTTCTATCCATCTATCTGTCTGTCTGTCTGTCCGTCCTTCTGTCTTTCTGTCTGTCCTTCTATCCATCTATCTATCTGTCTGTCTGTCCGTCCGTCCTTCTATCCATCTATCTGTCTGTCTGTCTGTCTGTCTGTCCTTCTATCCGTCTGTCCGTCTATCCGTCTGTCTGTCTGTCTGTCCTTCTATCCGTCTGTCCGTCATTCTATCTGTCCGTCTGTCTGTCTATCTGTCTGTCCGTCCGTCATTCTATCTATCTGTCTGTCCGTCTGTCTGTCTGTCTGTCTGTCCTTCTATCCGTCTGTCCGTCATTCTATCTGTCCGTCTGTCTGTCTATCTGTCTGTCCGTCTGTGTTATTTCTTTTAAATTCTTAATATTTTTCATAATGATCTTCAGTGAAGAACCATGCTTCAAGTGATTGACCTCATCCTATTGGGTGATCAAAAACTTGGCCCAGTCACTGTGGTAACGAGGTAATTTGCCTACATATCTAGTCACTGTACTCGAGTATCTTTGGCTACTTTGTAGTTTTACTGAGTATCAAATATATTAGCAACTTTTTCTCTCTACTTGACAACATTTTTGAATGGGCATATGTACACTTTACTCCACTACATTTGTGAGCAATGCAATTAATCATTAGGTTTTGCATTGTACCTAACTTTTCTGCAGCGGTTTATTTCTGCTACAAAAGAAGTGATATCGCCATCTACAGGGCATTGAAGATGTTTACTCGGCCGAACTTGTCAACAATCATCTTCTATTGGAAAATGAAACAACATTTTATCAAACTTTGATAATTGCTTTAATTTGCAGATTTTGACTCGTATGGGATGAGGACATGGTCGAGACCTTCTTGAAGGAGATTGGTTTACTTGTACTTTTTCAGTACTTGTGCTTAACTGAGATGTCAGTGTTTGTAGACATTTAAGAGGCTGTTTTGTCGACCTTCATTTATTGCAGTGTTGAGTTTTATTTTGATTTTAGAAAATAGAATTGTTCTCCTCACAAATCAACTGTTTCTTGTTTTTCACTGGCATTTCTTTTGGGTGTTGAGGACTTGTGTATCTTTAAGCCTACATTCAGTATGAGTAAAATACTTAAGTACTGTTAAAATCAGATACTCTTAAGACTTTTACTCAAGTCGTTTTGGAATGGGTGATTTTAATGGAGTCATTTTCGCTGTGAGGTATCTCTCCTCAAGAAGGGCTTTCAGGTACTCTTTACACCTCTGCAGCATTGTGTGATTTTCTGTCATGAATTATTATTTCTTCTATATTAACAGCAACAATGTCTTGAAACCTGGGGGCCAGTTGCATAAACATACCTACTATGTTAAGACGTCTTAAGAACTAGTTTGACCAACTAGCAATTAGCCAAGAGATAATTAGTCTAACTTTTCTGACTCAAATTGGGCCAATCTACCTTTTTGTAACCGAGTTTAAACAGTTATGACCAGTCTTTAAGAAAACAAATTAGATGACTAACTTTTTATTAGGCTATTGCTGAGCTGGTGGACATCTATCTGTCTGTCTATCTATCTATCTATCTGTCTATCTGTCTGTCTGTCTGTCCTTCTATCCATCTATCTGTCTGTCTGTCTGTCCGTTCTTCTGTCTTTCTGTCTGTCCTTCTATCCATCTATCTATCTGTCTGTCTGTCCGTCCGTCCTTCTATCCATCTATCTGTCTGTCTGTCTGTCTGTCTGTCCTTCTATCCGTCTGTCCGTCTATCCGTCTGTCTGTCTGTCTGTCCTTCTATCCGTCTGTCCGTCTATCCGTCTGTTTTTCTGTCTGTCCTTCTATCCGTCTGTCCATCTATCTGTCTGTCTGTCTGTCCTTCTATCCATCTATCTATCTGTCCGTCCGTCCTTCTATCCATCTGTCTGTCTGTCCTTCTATCCGTCTGTCCGTCTATCCGTCTGTCTGTCTGTCTGTCTGTCCTTCTATCCGTCTGTCCGTCATTCTATCTGTCCGTCTGTCTGTCTATCTGTCTGTCCGTCCGTCATTCTATCTATCTGTCTGTCCGTCTGTCTGTCTGTCTGTCTGTCTGTCTGTCTGTCCGTCCTTCTATCTATCTATCTGTCCGTCTGTCTGTCTGTCTTTCTGTCTGTCCTTCATCTATCTATCTGTCCGTCCGTCCTTCTATCCATCTGTCTGTCTGTCTGTCTGTCCTTCTATCCGTCTGTCCGTCTATCTATCTGTCTGTCTGTCTGTATTTAGTTTTTAATAGTTGTTACAGTATGGTG